AGAGAGAGAGAGAGAGAGAGAGAGAGAGAGAGAGAGAGAGAGAGAGAGAGAGAGAGAGAGAGAGAGAGGAATAGAGAATACATTCTTGAGGAGCAAACGTTGAGAAAGAAACAATAGCTATTGCCGCGGTGGAGAACTATGGCAGGAATTTTATGTTGTTTATTAGGAACGAAAAGGAATTTGATATATTTCATTAGAGTTAAGGAATCTCCGAGAGGAATTTCCTATATCTCATCAGATAATATTTGGTTTATATTTAGTAAAATATATACGCTTGAATCTTCTCTGCTTTTGACTTTTCCAAATACCGCTGTCGGAGATTGTATTGTACAAATATCGTAAAACATTTAATAATGAAACGGGAAACGTCGATATCTGACCTCTGGTTGAATATTCACTCTATTTGTCTCAAAGCTGCCAGTATCTGTCCATAATGTTTGCAGAAAAAGAAATATCGAGGACATTTCCTGTAATATTAATTTTGATAAATTTTTTTCCGCTTCGCAAATCCGTCTTTGTCGCGGTATGTATACGTCAGTAAGTTAGTCAATAGAGCGAGGTTGTTTACTGGGACTAGGCGATCTTTTTTTTGCGACATCGCAAATCCATTACGTTGTAGCTGTAGTCGTTGTCGTCACCTTTTTCTGTTCTTTCTTTGATTCTTTCACGCTTGACGAAAGGTCTAACGAGAGAAAGGTATGGTAATACTTTTAAATATTATCATTATTATAGCTGCGAAAGTAAGTGTAACATTAAACATTTTTACGATTCTTTCTTGGTAAATAAATTGTGTGAAGGTATTATTAAATCGTAATAAGCATAATGCAATCCAGACGATGCAATTGTTTTAAAATCATAAAAGAGTTTTTAAAGAACGTTATAAGAGTGTCTACAGACATTTAAATTTTTAAAATAACTTACAGATCTTAATTAGCTCGTTAAAATATTAATGGACTAATATTTTTCTAGCATTTTTTATGTAATTAATTTACTAATATACTAAAAAAAGAAACAAATTCAAATGCTATGACGATTTATTGATTGAATATAAAATGCTGCATACAAATTTATCCTGCAAATATTATCTGTGAAACACAGGATCAAGATACTATTGATTTTTAACATTTCTATGCTATATTTTTATCAACCCAATATCAATCTCTGACAGGATTAATAAATTGTTCTATTTTTCATACAGATTATCTTTCGTTTACTCGATTCGTTTGTGCAATACATGTCTGCGTAAGAGTCCCGTCTTGCCTATATAAGAATTCCGCTTCTAAAAATAGAGAAGAGCTGATGCGAGGGAAGTGTTTCCTTCGGATCGATCTTATTACACTTTCACTTTTTTTTTAATTTTTTTGTGGAACTTTACACCTGGAAAACTCGACTATTCCGGCGGATCGTTTCGGAATGGATTCGATGAGGCCGAAAGACACTTCAGAAGACATTCGGAAGACGCTTTTTACGCTCAAGAAGCGATTGCTCGTTTTCTAGCTCACGCTTCTTCTTCACGGTCTAAAGTGCAGTCTAAATTTTTGAAAGAAAGTAGCGTGGATGATAGAAGGAGGAAACGGAGATGGAGGACGACGACTCTCCCTGACATCGTGCCAAGGGAATTCGAATATGCTGGAGGGACTCGAGCGGAAAATAGATAACGCGATTCGACAATAAAAATTTAATGCTATAACGATCCGCCGTTTCTAAAACATATACCGAAACATGGCGCGAGCACGTGCTGCGGACGACACATTTCCCGGGTACGATGTTCCAGCTGTGCTTTTATTTTCGCGGGTATCCATCAACATGCGAGAAATGCGAGACACGGAGATTACGGGGAAGGGTCCGGCGCTGAGTGCGGACGTGGATAACGGTCTGGGAGGGAAAAAAAAAGAGATTAAAAAGAAGAAAAGTAGAAGAGATTTAAAATTCTGCGCTCGGAAATGAGGGGAGACCTCTATCACATAACCATATCTCTGCAACTTTAAATACTCGCCGAATCCGCGGGGAGTAGATTGATATAGCGAGCAATTATGCAAGATTGATCCAGCGTCGAGTAACGCATTAATCTCCGGGCCAAACTCGGATTATCAAGTAATATGGTGGGCATTAAAGGGTTAAGTGGTATATTCGTTGTAATCCGACGTCGGGATAAATTCCCTGTCGAATGAAGAATAGCGGGCATTTTAAATTGATGGCACTTGAAAGTTCTCCCGCGGCCACATATTTTTCTGAAAGGCGAGATGTCGACCGGGCGAGTTCGAATCGAAAGTATTTGAAGTATTGAACGAAAGTCGGGATCTAACCGAGCTGGCCGCGCGCCAAATGTATCGCGCGTCGGATTTTCATTCTCGCGGGTCGCGGATGCTTTTAAACGTCCCGAACTAGTATCTTATGCATTACGGATTTTATCGGAATCGCTGCAAAAATCGCAAATGCGCGGATAAAAATATACAGACCTTCCGCTGTGGTAACGAGGACCATATTTTCCGGATGCTTGTTGACCAGTCGGCGAATAAGATCGATTTGTTCCAGGGCCAGTTGCACCGAGTCGAGATGCTGCGACGAGCAGGGCACATACGCGGACCAGAACTGCAACAGCGAAGCGGAAGTACAACGTGAGTTAAATTGCATTTTACAATTTCCGGCTGCTGTAAACAGCGACGGTGTTGATTTTTTTATCGATATTCATCGCAACGATGTGTATATCAATATTTTATTCTAATTCATATATAACAAGCAAACATAAGCAATAGCGATTATTATTTAATTATTTAAAAACATGGAAATTATGTACTGAATTAATTTACGGAATTTATCATATTTATGGCTATATTATGATGACGGCATTCTAATGTAAAACAGACTATTCTCATGTTAAAGCTAAAATCGATAAAAGTGTGTTGCGATTTATTGCGAAGGATTATCCTTATTTAATATTGGCTCGCGGGTTTATTCGCGTTTAAAACGCGATAACGTTAATCGCATTCGTATTCTAATTACGGGAGTATTTCTGACACACATAATACTCCGCCTTAATCCGGCATCTGATAACGTTAGGAAATAATTAAATGCACATTACGATAGTGTACAAACCCGGGAAGAGGGGGAGCGATTTGCATTTTAAATAACCTGATATCGGCGACAATCATAAATAACGGAAACTTTAAGACTTTCCTTTCTAATGCATTCAAAGCAAGAATGTAACTACTCGGTTGGGAATAATTTGTCTCTGAATGTGCCGTCTCTTAAGGTTACGCTCTATGCACGACATGTACTCTTGGCGTTACGAAAATAACAGTGCGACTTCAAAAAGGCACGCAATGCGAAGATCGCGACGTACAGTTCCGTTTTTTTCACGCCGTCACGCGAGATCGTCGTACGGCGATACAATTAGTTCTTTTATTCGTTATGATATCCGTTTGACGTTTTATATGCATATTTCAACCTGTTATCGTTTGTAGTCGAACAACTTTGCGATTAGATTTTGCGACTTTTTTCATTATGTTTTATCATTGCGTTTCTATGTAGCTTTTTTCCAAAAAAAAAAGAAAAATAAAACGATTAAGTGAAGTTGATAAATTTTTATCAAGAGAAGCGGTTGATATCTCGACAGATGACACTTTGCTCGGAACTCGGAAAAGAGAAACATTAAATTCTTGCGCCCGGTCGGAACGTGAACGAAGTGTCTTACTTTAGCGCGAATTTTCCGCATTATGCGCAAGTGCGCGCATCGCGCGTCGTCGGCGAGAAGTTTTATTTAACAATGCGGGTGGGGAAGAAATTTATGCCCGAAGTGTGAGGTCGCCGTCGCGGCGGCGTAAATCAACGAGGGCGAGGAGGCGCGAGGGCACTTCCGGTTTTTCCTGTCTCATCCCGCCTCGATTTGCAGTCGACAGAAATTGCATTCTCGCGAGTCGCGACGCCCGCCGGCGGCGCGCGCCCGGCTAATAGTGACGACTTTAGCCGCGCGCGATGCCGGCGTAATTACGTCCGGGACGTCTGTATTTTCGAGTACTTCGGTGAGTCTCGCCGCGGGAGACGACTTATTGCGACACGCAAGTAATTCAACGGCAAAAGGAAAGTTCAGCCTACGCTCGCGGCTTAATGTTGGTACGTCAAACGGAAACGGCGAGACGGGAAACTTTTAACTCGTAATTACTTTCGTATATAGTTGAAGGAGAGCACTTGCGCGGCGGCGCGATCGAAAGGAGCGTGGACTCGACGTCATCGCGTACGCGGTATCTATTCGACGAGCACGTTATCGCGATAGGTATACCTATTCTATAACTTTCTAACAACAATATCGCTTTTGTTACGTGCCGTTGCGCCGCTATAACGTATCACATAATAGCTGCGCAACGACACATAATGATAGCGATATTGTCCCGTTAAAATTTACGGAATAAAGGCCTGGCGTCTTTCGCGTTGAATGCGGTTTGCTCGATTACTGGGGAAACTATTAAGGGCCCGTGCTTTATCAATCGATAAAATATTATTTGCCATTTGTCTGGAAGCAAAATCAGCTAACTTCTTCGATAATTTTCTCCCTTTTTCATCATCACATCGAAACGATGTGAGCCCCGGCGGGGATTTGAAATCGCTCGCGTTATCAATAATCTCAATTCCAGATGCGAGATCTTGATTTCGAAATATCACGGCGAAAGAGTTCTCTATTTTGGAAGATGAACAGAGCTACGTAATCTTACATCGCGGGAAATGCAAGGATATTAAGCGAAATATACCGACGTCTGTATTAGCGCATAATCGCCCCCCGCCCGTCCTCCTTCTTCTGCACTCTGCGCTACAAGGAAGCAGTTACAGCAGCATTTTAGGTCAGACGTTCACAGAAACATGTGCCATATCTATGTATGTGTGCATACTCGTGTATGCGTGCTCGTGGTTTCCTTTTTTCCTTCCGCGCCTTTAGTTCAGTCTGGCGCAAGAACGAGCAGTAGTCACGGCGAGTTTTAGGTCAGACGTTCGTAAAAATACTTTCCTCTCCGCGCGCGCGTACAGAACGTGTCGCGTCTGCGATTCTACTTAAAGGCGAGCTGTGGTTGCGAGCGGCCGCGGGTTTGAGAGGTGTGCTTTAGCAATTTCGTGGCTGTACGATGCGAGCCGGCTGCATTAAGACGATCGTTTTACCTTACTTTGTGAAGACCATTTCGCGAAGTCATCGCGCATGAAAATCGATTCAAAAGATTGCTTCCTTTTTCATCATGTTACTTTAATCCGTGTAAGTTTCAAATGTGTCTCGCATTGCAATGTCACGTTCAGACCTTCCGAATATCATATTTTTCGTAACATTACAATGTAGTTACGCACACAATTTCTTGTCTTGAATAAGTTTTTAAACAATACAGCCACTGTGGAACTATAAATTTTAGAAAATCTTGAAAATTTCAAATTCTTGATAGCTATCTTGAAAAGTCTTGAGCGAAAGTTTTGAGTATTAAATGCGAAACGAGAGGAATTTATTATATTAATGTCTTCATAAGTAAAATACTACTTATTTTAATTACATTATGAAATTAAATACATTAAATTATACTCCGTATAATTAAAAAAAATGGTAATACTTACCATCTTCAAAACTTTTGGCAACACTAATATTTCAAAATTTTCGAGTTTTAATATTTTGCTGTTGTTAAAAATTTTTTTTTGTATATTTGATCGATATGCAAGATAATTGCATTTTTATTGCCATTTGTCTTGTTATTGGACGCAATAACGTATAACGAAAAATGGGGAAAATAATAGGAATTCAATTTGATCGCAGTTATTTGAAAAAAAATAAAAAAAAAAGGAAATAAAAGTTTATGTTGCCTCTGGCGTTCCATCCTCCACCGGTCTCTCTTTCGTGTTACACCTAAAAGTCCGAAACAATCGCGTGAGACGTAAATTTCCTCACGCCTTGCGAGTTGCTTCTCTTGCGGCGAAGTCGCTGGAAGTGTAACGCAAATTCCTACCCGAAGTCCTGCGACGCGATAAATCGAGGAGCTTCGACTCATCTCAAGTTAGAATGCACTTTCGTGATTTGTGACATGCCGAGGGTCCCCCGGGTAGACAAGCCTGAGGGGTCCAAACGAAAGCACTTGTCGGATGTACTCTTCCGATTCTACGAATGCGTCAGTGTGCCGTGTATGTGGTGGAACGTTTTACTTCCCTTTTACTTGAATTCCTGAATAGGAATAAAAGCTCGACGGAACTCGCCTTCGGAGGGGCAATAATTCATCTTAATAGCGAAATTGATTGTTACGTCTCGCTTTGTTGCGAATTTGATTGAAGGAGCGATCATTACAAGGGAAAATCTTGTTCAAGCCGCGATGTTATGTAAAATCGTGTGTAAGTCGACGTCACGCGATCAATGGCGAGTAACCTTCCGCGATGGATACCGCCGGTCTGTCTGAATTATCCAGGACAGTGATAGATCGAGACGGCCCTCGGTTTGGTTACTGTATACATATAGTATACTGTGTATACGTTATATATACATTATATGCATATGTGTGTATACGCTTACGTCCCAATGGACATAACCGAGTGGTTATCCCTTTTGTCCTGACGTTAGTAGACTGGGATACCTTAAGGGATCTGTTGAGGTCGGAATATAATTCGAAATACTCTCTGTGACTCTCAAAGGTTTATCTTTTGATAGCATTTTTCAAATTGCCAATAAAATTGTCGATATTTACATAACCGCGTGTTTAGATAATCGTTTTGTTTTTCTTTTCAAAATAGTATTATCGAAAATTATTTGAAAACGTCTGCGACGTCGCGTGTTTCTACTACTGCTGCGCGACATCGTTCTATGCGATGCCATCTTTTGCGCGCTTTCCATTTAGCTTAATTATAAAATTCTCGCATCGCCTGCATTCCAATTTTAATCACACGTTATTAATGCGCCTCGTATAAATATGACATTTACAAAAAAGCTTCGCGTAATTACCCGACCATTGTGCGCCGCGCTATCATCCTCATAATTTCTCCTCGTTATTACGCGGCACACCTTGCGCCTCGCAATCGCAGATTGGCATTAATTATGAAAAATTGCTCGCAACGCGCGACGTTACGTTGCCGCGCACAGTAAATACGTGCTATCTGCTTCACTGCGCTATTATGCACCGAATTAATATTCCATTTAATAACATTAATGATTTCATTACATTGTGACGGTAAGCGGCGCGCATTTACACGTCTTCTCGTTAGCGGTGGATGCTCATTTGGCTTCCTTTTCTGCCTCGCCGGAAGGTAAGCGGATACCTTAACATTAAGGTGAACGACTAAGACCCACCTCCGATCCTTTTCAGCGGGTGCCTTATTCCGCCGTTCGCGCTTTCACGAGGACCGAACTTTTCGGATCACGGCAGCCGCTTTATCATGGCTCGCCACTTCGCCCACGGCTGCCATGACTGGCGTCTAGAGCGTCTGCTAATAGCCGGATCACCCCAAGACTGTCTCGCTAACGAGTATGCTGGTATTTTCAAAGGTCCCCCGAGAATTTTCCTTCCCGCCGATAGGATATCGGGCGATCTTTGACATTACGCTCTTACCCGACACCCAACGGGAATACTCTCAATTTCTCCATTCTCGCCGCGGGCAGAGAGGTCTATTGTAACTGAAATTTTCACGACGGTGTAACCTGTCGCGATATATTATTTATGCCCACGAACGTCGCGCTACAATGTAGCGCGAGTAACGGCGCCGTTAATTCGTAATGCGTTTAAACAGGTTTCGCACGTTACCCCACGCGCGCGTTTTATTTGAAAAAGCACGGATTTACGGGGAACTCTCTCTCTCTCTTTCTCTCTCTCTCTCTCTCTCTCTCGCGCGCGCGCGCGCGCGTGGGCGCGCGACGTTTCGAGAATGAATATCGGCATTCGCGAAACCGAAATCTCGTAATCCTCCTTCCGATTTAATCCGATATTTAATGCATTTAAGGATGTATATATCGCGGGACGCAGGTCTGCCGCGCGTTCCGTTCTCGCAGCCCCATTCAATATCGGTTCCTAATGGATTCGCGCGCTATATCGTGCCCGTAACGGGTCCACGATCGGTACACCCGTTATTACCGTGCTATTGAGTCACATCGTTTATTTAATATGAGCCAAGATTCTCGTCTGAATGGACCGCGGTATACGGGCAACCTCTATACATGCGGCACGCTCCATCAAATTCGACGTTTGAGCGCACATTCACGGGGAATATCTTTATTCTCCCGTACGCGCCTGAAACTTTCTGCCGGACTGCTTTGCGTTTACACTGCGACTGCGTGCGTCTTGTCTTTATCCGCGTCTTCCTCTGTGCTAACTCTTGACTATGCACTTCACGTCTTCAGATGCGCGCGCGCGCGCGCGCGCTCCAAGTACCGTAAATAAATTCCCCGCGCAGTCTCTGCTCTCCTTTGAGAGCTACTTTAAACGCAATAAGCGTTGCGATGCACAAAGAAGAGTAATTTTTGATAATGAGTTCATTTCGAATTGGAGGAAATCGTCGTGCGAAAGAGTTTGCGTGGCATTAGCCGGAGCGCTTCCGAATATTTATTTTAATTTCTTAGTATTTTGTCTAATTAATTAAATCATTTTTAAACTATTTTCATACTTTTTATACCTTATATATTATATATTTTATACTTTTTTCTTACAATTTTTTTTAATGAAAAAAATGTAAATACGTGTTATTGGTGTAATAATCCTTTTAATTTGCTGTAATCCTATTATCATTCTTTGCTTTAATTCTTTTTCTAACTTTAGACTATCTCGAATGTGGCCATTGCTCAATCGACGTCTTCGGACTTCGCGCAAAGTTTCGCGCGCTATGTCGAAGTTTACTCGAAACGATACCGAGTCGTTCGAAAAGGATTTCTGCGAGATTAATCGAAGGTATCTCGGCGGATGGAAGGAGAAGAAACCGATCGTGTCGTGGTAAATTTTCGGCGGCACGTGAAGCACGGTGGGCAACCGAAGGAAATTAATTGCCCAAGTTCGCTTCGATTTTCCTCGGATCGTTAAAGAGCCGTTTCCGCCGTTAATTGAACCGAGCGGCGATTTTTTACGGTTAGATCTTAATTGCGATTTTAGATTAATCCCCGTTATTAACGATCGCCCGGTGGAAATTTCGCGTCGCGCACGCGAAAGCTTTAACTGCGCGATCGGAAAGGCCGAATTTATATTCGTTAAATTCACGGCTCAAGGAAGATTGGATCCGCTGGTAATTTCGGATATCCGCGTTATTCAGGAAATTTTGCTCGCGAACTTGTTCCGGACGACGTAGCACGGCGGATAATTAATTTTTGCATTACCGTAACACGTCCGATATACATTGCGGAGCTTTATTTCTCTTGTACCGCACATTTTACAGCCCGTACCTTTTTGCAATGCAAATTTCATCGCACTTGTCAAGATTATAAAATTTACGTAGATTGGCACATTGGAACGTTTCAAGCTTGCAAAGCGTTGCGCATTCATGTTTGAATTAAACGTCAACACGAAATCTTCGCAAAATCGATTAATCGCAATTAGGCGTGTGGCATCGCTGTTTGATTTATGACTGAGCTACGTACACAGCATGCTATAAATTAATAATCCGCAGTTGCCATGAACAAAACAGGCTTCAGGATATGACGGACGTTTAATTGCAATATTGGTGAACGGGCAATTGCGTGCGATTCTGAGAGTCGGCAGCCGCTTAAATTTAAATCAGACTGGATTAACGTGACTTTAAATTAGTTATAATTGTCGATGACTCTGCAGGTTGGGTTCTATGTGCGAACATTTAATTGCAATTTGGCGGTACTGCGGCTTGTAGGTGACATGCGATTCCCTCATTCGCGTGGATTTAATTTTCACTTGCGAGCTACGATGAAGTTGGCGAAAATCACGCGTTAAACTCGACTAATTGCTAGGTTTGTTTGTTCGAAAACCGAAAAATTAATTTGCAGCAATGTTTTTTTTTCTGTTTGACCACTTTGTGTGGTATTACGCAATATTTTACACAGTATTTTTACTGATAAAAATAAATAACCATGAATCTATATCTCTAACGTGAAATTTTAGTCCCAAAATCCCAGAAATATTTATGAGCATAATTATTAATATGCATAATTAAAATAATTAAAACTTGAAAAGTTAACAATCACGTCTGACGAGTAGTTTTTCAGTGATCTTTTTAAGAATTTTATGATATTCTTGTTTATTTCGCAAAATCGAGCTATCAGAAATCATTTGTCACGACGTTTTTCGATGTGCTATTAGATTTTGCTCCTAAATTTTATATCACGGCGCTATATTAACAGCAATTAATTGTTGCATGTTTGATATTGAATGAAAAACTTTTGGTACATTCAATCAGTTTCGCGATACGTTGGGCGAACTTCGGTCGAAGTAATAACTTTGGCGAACTCTTGTTATTACGGTTATTATTAAACTCACCTGCGCTGCAACCATGCCCTCCTTCAATCTCCTGAGATCTGTGTGGCTCCAGGCGCTTCGTGACCAAGGATGAGTGTCCCTTAGGTCATCAAAGCTGAACTCCCTCAGCTGGTTCTTCAGAAACTTCCGTATGTTCCAGGGTAGGTCGTTGTGCCTGAGGAAAAAGGAAAAATATTGCACTGTATGTGTGTACACGCGCTTTGTCCGAGATTTTTCTGCTCTTTAAACTTTTTAAGCTAAACATGGCACGCCACTTTAAAATAGTTGGATAAATTTATTCCGGTAGAACACGTGTCTTATGCGCGTGACACGGAATACATTTTGCGTTGGGAAACTCCTACCAAATACTTTCCCAATAAAGTTGTTATATTAGGTTACACGGATGCGCATAGTTTTCCAACGAAAAAAAAGAAGTATCGCAACGTAAATCTTAAAAAAAACCACGGACAACACACTATTGATAAAGTATCAAAGAGTTTCTCGTCAAAGATTTTAACTTGGCTTTTATAATATGCGTTTGTGTTTTTTGTCACCATTTCTTTTTTAATCTTTGAAGTTTAATTATTCCATTGTTAGGTCTCGAAAATATCCCATGTTTTATAAAAATAAAGTATCAATGTGATGCTAAACGAAGCGTAAATGCGATTTATATAAAGCGATTAACTTGCTTTTGAATATGGAATATTCCAAAGCTTTTTGTCAAAGTTTTTCGCAACGTGTAATTTTTCCTTTCCTTTCTTTTTCTCGTGCTTTATCGTTTTATCGTGTGCTTCTGGTTTAATTTCTTCCGACATTGATCATATTTGAAATGCGAATATTCAATGTCCTGTAATTTCATTCCATGTCAAAGAAACTCTATATAGTCAAAGTTCGGCCTTTACAACAGCATTATCTGATGTTCAACTTGTGGTGAACTCAGTTGCTGTGTCAAACTTATTTTCCATAGAGCTACAGAGAATGTTCCGCGGAAATAAGAAATATGTCTGCATTCTTGCCGAGATGAGACATGAAGTTAATTCAGCGACGTGTTGAATACCAAATTTCTTTCCTCAAGATAAGCATGAACGTCGTGCATCTTGTATAAATATTAAAAATGACAATTTTTTACACGCGGATATAATTCCAATATATGTCTGCGTTGATAAAAAGAATTTTTTTTCTTCTTCGTGTTGCGAAAGTTGCCAGCGGAATAATAATTATTTAATTAGCGTAAGATGCAAAATTGACAGATTCGTCGCGCCGCGATGCCAAATATTCTTTGCACTTGCGGAATTTACTCTAATCGCAAACCAGCAGACAACGGCATAGTTTGACGTAAAGGAATTTCGGTGCTCGATGCACACACCGATAACGAAGAGGCGTGCGCCAAGTGTGTGCGTGCATTGTTACCCCAACAAATCTGCCTCGAATCAGCGATGGATCTGCCGTTCGTTTGTAACTAACCACACCGTACCTTCTCCAAATGTACTTTACATGCGGCGCGATAGGTGCCTAACTTCTAGCAGAATTAGATAACCAAACGAACATTCGCGTACTATCGGATTTTCGCCCTTTCCCCTTTTCCGCCCCCCCCCCCCTCCTGAATAATGACAGAGGGAAATTTGAGAGCAAATGATATAATAGAAGTCGGAGAGAGGTAGCCGTGCTGAACATGGGTCAGTAAGTGTTGTACGAACGCAGGGGCGCGTATCCTCTTTTTGGTATAATTGAGGTAGCACGCGCGCGCACGAACTAATGAGAGCGTTGATGTATCGGATGTCGTATAAAACGAACGCTCTGACGTTCCGAATGCCGTAAACAAGAAAGTATTTTTATAAAAATTTTTGCATAAAGTTTTGCCTAAAGTTTTTTGCAGAATATTTTTATATTTTATTTATTTCTCCCTTTTGCGATAATTTGTATGAAAATTCGTTTCTTTCATGATAAAATATTGATTAGTCTGATGTTATTTTACTTTGTTTCAAGTCAAATTATTGATAAATATGAATGGATAATCTTCAAAGATTAAAATATTAAATAATGATAATTATAGATTATACAATATTATTGCAATACAGCGATTTTAACATCCTGCGTTTTTAGTTCGTACATCTATATTCATGGATAACAAAGCATTTGTATCCATTTTAGAGTTGGAATTACATTGTATTGTATTACAGAATTAAATCCTGATTCACAATTTGCGCATGTAGCGTGAATAAATTGTTCGTGTAACATGAACAGACTGGCGGTGTCGAAAAATAAATGCTGCACACTGCGAACTTCAAAATGGATGCAGATAACGATGACTACGTGAACAAGGATCGTTTCGCACAAAACCGGGATGGCCGCTCTCAAGCTTCTCTCTGGCGATAGTTCGATCGTTTTCGGAATATATGAATGTTGGCAATGCGCGAATGTCCGACTTGATTTAAATATCAGGGACGTGCGCCATTCTGTTCGACAGTGTCCAAAGTGCATATTTAGCTACGTAGCTTTATAGGGGACAAAACAATTCTGTTATGAAAGTCCAAACGCAGAATGCATTTTATACATTTGTATTATGCGCTAAGTGCACTTTAACTTAGCGTCAAACGGTTTCTTTGTTACATTATCCAAGAGTTTTATCTTTAGAAGGGAAGGATATGCTTGCCAAGGATCAAAATAATATCAGGTTGAAAGGGATAAATTTAGTAGTAGGTCGCTCGAGCCTGTAAACCATCTCCAAATGCATGTATACAACAGTCGGCTAAACAGATACAATGAGACTTCCTGTGTGCATAGAGAGACCGAGTCCTTTTGTTCATTGGATCGCTCATGCAGGATAGTGTGACCAAACGCCGGTAAAGCCCTTTGTTTCATGTGGGCTACCACGCACGCAGCCTCGAGACACTCGAACTACGTACGTCTCGTTGGAGACGTGCGCGAGAATATCCGTAAAATGCACTTTGACAAAGAGCGATGTAATCCATGTGTAATTCTGAGTGTTTCGCATATAATTAATCCCTCAATCGACACCGTTCTATTCGATTCACTTCTCAGCGATTCGCTTCTATCGCGTGCTCCGCATTATGCTGGAATTTCGCGACGACGTCATTTGTAATCGTCATTTGCCTCGATTCGCTCTTCGGGCCGGCCGTTAACAACACGTAGGCAATTTTTAATTCATAAAAGTGCCCGCGTGGAATTTTGGCCGACGGCCAGAGTCGTGTTTGCATTCGTCGATAGCGGAACGTCATGGAAATCAGCGCACTTACTCGTTTTAGCCGCAACGATTTATTTTCTAAGAGCGGAATTAAAAACCCGACGGAGGCTACTTATATAAGACAGCTTGCCGGCAGTTTCGCTCTTGATTTATGCGCTACTGCCGTACGGTGAAACAATAAATTTACCTCGAGTCTAGAGGAATGCTCGCGCTATTACAAATTCATGATAGAAATTATCGTCATAAATCGCCTAATTATCGTTACCTCGTAATTGCGAATTATGAAAACTCAATTTCGATCGAACTCCGAATGGACTACAGGAATAATGCATGATTTACAGTAGCGTACGTTACGCTATTCGGCAATAATGATCATGAAGACACTTCCGCGCTATTAAAGTATGTTTCCGTTAATTCCCTATACATATTCAGCGAACGGAACTCTAAGGCGAGATCCGATGTTAATTTTGGCTCAGTGGATACTAAAACTTTTGCACCTATAAAAATACGAAAAAACTGCAGGAGCTTTACATTAAGTCGTCTTATTCGATTATTAACATGAGAAAAAATATTTTAGAAATTTTATAAATAACAGCAAATTATATATATACTATATTAATTGCAAAATATATTAAATTGACTTCAGTATTTTTATCCAGTTTTGGTTTAATTATATATTCAATTTTATAGAGAAATGAGTTTATCACTCGCAATTAACGTAGCACAATTGCTTTTCCGTGATGATAACTGGTTGTCGGCTGTTTATCCCGCGCGCGTAAATACATATTGTGAGTTTTGTATGGACAGCTCGACATTTAACGGTTAAATGTATATCGAGAAGTGATTGATTAAAAGCAAGTAAGAGTTAAAAGAGGAAGAAAAAAACGCGGATGTGGAAATGAAGCGCGGAGCAGCACGAGCGAAAAAAAAAGAGGTGTTGCAGCAGTGATTTATAAAATATCGCGCGTAAGTGCTCGCCTGAGCGTTGCTACTTAAAACTCGAACTCCCGAATAACCACGGCTTCAAACTAAACGGTACAATTAATAATTTCGATGGCATCCTTCTCTTCGTACTTTTAAGTTCCGCCCTCTTTCATCCTTTGCGATCTCCTCATACATATTCACGGGATGCAACGCGCGCTTAAGAGCCGAGATAGCTTTGGTGTCGATTTCGCGAAACTACCGACGAATTTTCGTCGTTTGCCGGAGCGACGAAGGGGTTAGCCGGCGGAATCGCCAGTTAAGAGGCGGTGGGCGGCGTGGGCGGTGAGCGCGGTAGTTAATTGGCAAAGTGCGATAAGGTGGCTGGTCCCCCATATATGCATATGAATGGCGAGTATATTCCGTTTGCCGGCTGCAGTTACGTTACTCGGCATGCAAATAAGTCTTCCGGTCTTGCGCGCCGACGCGCTTCGAACCCATCACCTTTATAGGATAAATAAGGAGTTTAACGATACGATCGTAACCAGGAGTTACCGGCGTTTCCTGCTTAAAACGGCCGTTAAAAATAATTCATTAAAGATCCGCCTTTGTTTAATTTTACAGCCGCCTCTGAGGATGTACACGTTGCTCGAATTTTTCGGTTTCGCATTTGGGATGCGTTTAACGACGCACTGACAAATTGTTACCACTCGCGTACCTCTTTTTGGGAATATGTACCTCTTCGCCGCTGAGCATACAGCGTGCTCGGATTATTCTTTGTCGACTGATTTTTTTTTGCCGCGACTTAACGTCAATGCCACATTTTGTTGGCTCTGCAGAATATATTTCACGGTTACGTTATCAATAAATGTCAGCGAGTCAACGTTCGAAATGTGTTGGAGAAGATTTTTTTCGCTGCAACAGCTACATTTGGTAGCAAAAAATTTGACAAAAATTGTTTGATAAATATAAGCATAAATGAGTTTGTAGTTACAATTTTTTTCAACAATTATCTCGCGATTTTCAAAGTTTTCGGTTGCCTCCGTGTA